AATAAGAAATGTCAGAAAAAAAAATCAGTGTGCGCTTGAATTTACAGTAAAGTGACCCTTGTTTATTTCTCTGCATCGTCCGCAGGATGAGGAAGACTTCTGCCGCCCGCTGCACGTCAACACCGGCGCCGCCAAGCTCAACGGCGGCCTGTCGGCTCCCGGCTCGCCCCTGCAGCGGCGGACCGCGCCCTACAACACGGCCCATCAGCCCTACGCGTTGTCCCGCCAGAAGTCGGACTCGTCCTTCGACCGCGAGCGGCCCTTCGTTTCCGTGAAGCGCGGCTACGAGCAGCGCTCCAAGTACGAGTCGCCGGTGAGTACGACGCGCGCCGCATCCCTCCGAGGGGTCCTTCACTCAAAAAAATCAGTGTACACCCTTAGAAAAAATCATAAATCAGAAAATATCATGAAAAAACTGACAAAAAGTCAGAGAAAATCAAGAAAGACAGAAAAATCGGTGTACGCTAGAATGTATGGTGAAGGACCCCTCGCATCCCTCAACCCCAGAGGGGCATGCTAGAAGGGCGCGCCAAAGGGCCCGAGCGTCGGCCCCCCGCCGCCCCGCCCGCCGCTCCGGTAGAGCACCGCGGCATGCGCTAACCCTACCATCCCGCCTCTAACCCAAGTAACATGTCACGATAATATGGTCGAGCAATAATAATTGGTGTTCACAGTCATACTAACGTCGTAATTACGCCGAAGTGATGTGTCAAAGTGGCCTCATTGCCTTTGAGCTAAATTTTAACAACGTGGCGTCTCCGTGACCATGACACCGTTTCGTGTTACTTGGGATAAAGTCGCAACTGAACGCGACCTCCTCCCCGCACCTGCGGACTGTACAACTGACTTACTGTTCGTGTAATTTTTCTTCATCACCCCCCCTCCCTCCCTGCGTTATTCGCACTACTAGCCTTGCCTAAAGCGCTTTCGCGCGTAATGTTCGCTAACCTGCTGCTCATATTCGCCAGGCGGACACTACTGTGCACTCTGTCACCTTTGACCGAACGCCCAGCAGCCACTACACCAACAGCAACAACAGCCAAAACAACAGCCAGCACCTAAGCAACGGCTACGCCAACGGCTACGCGAATGGCTACAGCAACGGCTACAGCAACGGCCTGAGCAACGGCGCGAGCCATTACAGCAACGGCTCCGGCCACTACAGCACGCCGCGGCCGGAGGGCCCCGCCGCCCCGCACCGGACCCCGCCGTCGGCGGGCACCTCGGCCGCCGCCAGGACCCTGTTCCACAACCATGTGAACGGGGTGGGTAACGGCAAGCTGAGCGGACCCCCAAGCCCCGAGGACATCCTGATCCTGGACGGCCACCACCAGGACGCCCTGGCCTGCCTCATGGCCTCCCTCGCCTCGCCGTCAGAGTCCCCGACCTCGGCGTCCTCCCCCCTGTCCATGTCGACGCCGTCCCCGCCCGCCGCCTGCAGCCCTGTCACGCTCGCACGAGACGCCCGTAACGCTAGCGACAGCAGCACTAACAGCACATACGCATGGCAATCCGTGCAGGTTAGTCCACCTGTCACGCCGCCCAAGCGCGAGGTGGTCACAGCCGTCACCGTGGCCCGGGTAGCACGTGAGCGCCATGATAAAGGTAACGCTGACGTCCAATCTACCTGTGTTAAAAAAAAAGAAAAAGAAAGGACGTCAGCGTGACTTGACTATGTGGCTGTTCCGTGCTATTTGGGAGGGTTGCTTTTCCCACTGTTCTCCCATAAAGTTCTATAGGAATTTAATTCATCACCCTATATCTATTGCCAAAATGGGCCGTGGGTAAAGTAAAGCCAGTAAAAGACCGGCTGATTTGCAATATGCCTCAACCCTTAGTTGGCATGCTTTTTTTCGCCATATCTCCTGTCCCACCACTAGTGTGACGAAACCACCACCCCCCTTAATCCACGGCATGCTGGACCACGTCGAGACCACCGCGCGCTTGGCGGGATGAGTGTGTCCTTTTCATCTGTACATTTCTTTTTTTTACCACGTCCATAATCATTTTGCTTCTCATCATCATCCCGCCATTCAAATTTTAATCCTGTATAACGTTTTTGTATTATTTTTCATTATTATTTTCTTGTGGGAGTGAAATTGGAATTTAATGAGGGTGACGTCGTCGTCGTCGAGTCGTGCGCTGCTCGGACAAAAGAGACGACCAGGGCCCTGGCCGGGCCGGCCACGTGGGTCGCTATGTGCAATAACTTTATATGCGCCAACCGCCCCGCCCGGCTGGGGGTGGGGTGAGGTGGGGGTGGGGTCGAATATTTTTAGCCGATGGAAGGAGAGCGGCTGGCTGTTTGTTCGTAGGCGGCCCCGCCGCCGCGCCGTGACCCAGCAGCCCCAGCAGCACTCCCTCCTCTCTGGCTGGCGGCGCACCTGGCCCGACTGCGCGCGCAAACTGTTAATTCAGTTTGAAGCCTAACGGCAATAATATGACTCATTATTTAATACTTTCAATAGTTTCATCGGAAGCGCCAAGTGTGTGAATGTCGCACACTTGTAGGTGTGATGACGGCATTCGTACACATGGAGGCACGAAGTGTGCGAATCGCGAGGGGAAATTCACACCCTTTACTCCCCTAACTAAGTGTACGAATGGGCATTCACACTCCTACCCGTGTGCGACATTCACACACTTGCGTTTCCGGTGTATGTTATGGGAGCTCAAAAAATCCATCAGGAAACCTCTGTAAAAACAATGTAATCTTGTTTCATGATGCATGACGTTGATAATATCATTGCTTCTTTCTCCCCATTTGAGAAAGTGCACCCGTCATTCATTCGCACTCACGCTTGTTGTATCTCAATGCACAGCTTATTTTAGGCGCACAGTAAAACGCAAGCATATATATATAGCCAGTAAGCCAGTATCTAGTAGTGCCAGGTACCGCCTCGGTACACATAGTACAGAGACAAACGCAAAATTTATTTTCTCTTTCACCAGTCCTATTTCCTCTTTAAAATCATTTCTCTTCTTTTCCGATCCAACACTCCTGAAAAGCAAAAAATGCGACTTTGATACCTTTTAAAGGCGATAATGCCTCAGTATGCCTTTATACAGGCAACATTTTCTTGTCGCCCCGTTAAGGGGTAGTATCTTGTTCTTTTTTTCCCCACAACACTCTCTTCTACGATTGACAGGAGACTTAATATTTGTCACTGTGTTCCCCCAGCAGCAGCGGGAGGACAGCTACTCCTCCTGGAGAAGTGAAGAGGACAGATTCTCCCGGCCGCAGACGCCAGCATTCCCTGTGCAGCCCAGAACGCCCTACTCCAATAATGGCCACCAGTTTGACTCGGCCGGCCTTCCCCCTAAGAGTCCGACAACTCAGCGGTAAGTCTGCTAAGCTCTCACTAGTATAGCTTTTTAAAAAAATTAAGGGAAATTGGTGTCTTAAAATCTCACCACCAAAATGCGTCATGAATTACTGGAGATCAAAGGGCAGATCGATGTTGATGTACGAATTAAACGTAGCCTCGTTGCCCGGCAAACTGGATTGTGGAGTTAAAAAGTGGATATTCTTAATGTAAAGGATAATAAGAATTCTTAAGAAAACGTGCGATGTCGGCTTTCTACATATGCCTTCCCTATTTGCTTTCGTGTACGCAATGTGTTCGTAGCTGCTTCATGGCATTGGTATGGAGGGGGGGAGGGGGTGTCTGCCTTCGCTGAAAAGTCCAAACTAAGGAGAAGCTGGGGGAATGGGGAATCCCGCCTTCTTGACCCTTCCTTTCATGACTGTTTCTCCTGTTTGGCTCCTTGGTAGACGCTCGGGGTCATTTAAACACCTCCGGAGGTGGCCCTCCAACTCGTCAGTCTCTAGGTATGTGGCGTAGAAGTTGCGCCTTAAATTGATTCGAATAGTTTGGAGCATTTTTTTTTCGGTTTCTTCTAGCATTTCTGCATGGCTGCCAATCCGTATGCAGTTTATTTACCTTGCAGTGTACTTTTTGGGCACCGTGAGCTGTAGGAAAGAGAAAACACCCGTCAGGGTGCAGCTGCTGAGATTGTCTTTTTTTACTGTTTTCTTTCATAAAGCGTATTATTTTGGACGTAGGTGTGTCAGCTTTCGTTTTACACCATGTATTTTGTATTCAACGGCATCGCCTATTAGCCCTTTTTACTCGTTTTTATTATTTTTGCTTCCGAATTGTTTTGGCGCCTTTGGATGCCGCGTAGACGCTCCGCCCCCCGGTCGCGCACGCAGGTGACTGCCAGAGACCACCTTACCATTCTGGGCCGGGTGCGCGCGTGCGCGCGAGTTACTAACATTTTATCTCAAATTATTCGTTCTCTGCTTGTTGCTGCCGCAAAAGGAACTCACAGTCGTGCAGTCGTTTTTGTTGTTTTTGTTTTTAATTCTCTGCGCTGGAACCCCATACTCATTTCAGTAATTTTATTTGCAGCAAGGACCGCTCTCCGTCGCCGATGTCCGACATGCAGGGGCAAGGCATATACATGCAGCATAGTCCAAAGGTACGCCCGCTCTTTTTCCCTTTCTCCAATAAATCTTCCTTTTTCTGTCTCTCTATCCTCAACGGTTTTATTGATGAAAACGTGTGCCCAACACGTCCCTATATCGAGATTGCAGGTCTTTTATCTATGCCTTCTGGGGGGAAATTTAAAATATGATGAGAACGAAGCCAAGGTATCTATACAGAGCATGAGTCAGAGTATGTTACTCTTGTCTTTCTCGTTTAGTTAGAGATTCAATGTCCAGTCAATAACACTGTCCCGGCGCTACAAGTACAAAATGTAATGCCAGGGATCCTCATGTAAACTAGAAATGATGTACGCGGCGTTTACAGCTCGCTGCAACCCTGTCGTCTCTAATTCTGGATAGAGCGTCCGGTCGTAACAAAATCCCTTAGTGCTAGACACTGCCGCCCACTTTCGCGAGTAGAATTTGCCGGCTGTTCGGGACGATAGGCAGTCCGCATGCTCAACCGCGTTGCGGTACAGTCTAACTTAAAAAGTATATGTGTGGCGGACTGTAGCAAACACTAGTCGTCAACTAATACTGGCTAACTGATGGGCGTCGATGACATGTGCGACGACCCCGTGCTCGACGCGTCACTAACCCTCCCCTTTGCCCCCATAGAGCCCCGTGGGAGCCAACGGGGGCCAGTCGTCGCCGACGGTGTACTCGATGCACTCGCGGCGGTCGTCGACGCACTCCAACAGCGAGCCGCCCCAGGAGGTGGCGGCGCACCACGTCAAGTTCGTCCGCGACACGTCCCGGTACTGGTACAAGCCCAACATCTCCCGCGAGGACGCCATCTCGTTGCTGCGCGAGTCGCCGCCGGGCACCTTCGTCGTCCGGGACTCCAACTCGTTCCCGGGCGCGTTCGGCCTCGCCCTCAAGGTGGCCGTGCCGCCGGCCACCGTGGCGCAAAAGGCCGCCTTCTTCAGCGGCGACGCCAGCGAGCTCGTCCGGCACTTCCTCATCGAGCCCACCTCCAGGGGGGTGAAGCTCAAGGGCTGCACCAACGAGCCCGTCTTCAGTGAGTAGCGCGCGGCTGTGTGGCGTGTCAAATGGGTGGCCTACCCTCCCGGCGCCTTATAGTAGCCGACGACTGCTGGGATTTTAATTCTCCAGAAAAGTCTTGAGAAAAGTACTTTACATAACTTTTTGGAGAGTTTTAATTCTCCAGTAAAGTGTTTTTGAGAGTTTTTCCAAGACTTGTTTTTAAATGTCTGATTTTTTAATGTAAAGTTTTATGTTTTACAAATTTTTCTCAAAATATTTTTCTATTTTCAAATTTTTTCCTGGAAAAACTTCGGGTCCATAAATATTTTTTTTTTTTTTGTGGTGCCCCGCAGGCTCGCTGTCGGCGCTCGTCTACCAGCACTCCATCATGGCAATGGCGCTGCCCTGCAAGCTGCTCCTCCCGGACGGCGAGCTGGGAGTCCCGGGGCCCGGCGCCACCCTGGGTGGCCTGCAGGCCCGCCACGTGTCCGAGCTGGGCAGCAGCCCGTCCTCCACCACCTCGGGCAGCGTCAACAGCGCGCAGCAGCTCCTGGCGCAAGGCGCAGGTCCGTCCACCAACGACTTATTTAGCTATGCTGCTAAAAATGTAGCGGTCGCAACAACAAAAATTGCTATGTTGCTAAACAAAATTATCAATGTTACTAAAAATTTAGCACTGTTGCCAAAAACATTATCAATGTTACTAAAAAATTAGCAATGTTGCTAAAAAAAATAGCAATGTTGCTAAAAAATTTAGCAATGTTGCTAAAAAAAATAGCTATATTTAGCTGCACGTCTTCACAGCTGACTCCTGTTTCTCTCTGCGCAGCGTGCAACGTGCTGTACCTCTTCACGACGGACACGGAGTCGCTGACGGGACCGCAGGCGATCCGGCGCGCCGTCCAGCAGCTGTTCACGTCGCGGCCACTGCCGTCCGCCACCGTGGTGCACTTCAAGGTGTCCAGCCAGGGCATTACGCTCACCGACAGCAAGCGGAGGCTGTTCTTCCGGCGCCACTACCCAGTGTCCACCATCTCGCACTGCGGGCTAGACCCGGACGACCACCGGTGGAGTCAAAAGAGCCCCGACACGGGCATGCCCATCAGCTCCAAGTAAGTCGACTCACTGTCTGGCAGAGTAATTATGTCCAAGATTATTTTTTACCTCATATTTTTTCACCTTGTATTTATTTTTTACATACCTTTTTACCGCATTTTGCAACTGTATTTTGGTACTCATTTGTTTCAGCCGGTGTTTTGGATTTGTTGCGAGAAAGCCTGCCAGCAGATCTGACAATCAGTGCCATATATTTGCCGAGCTGGAACCTGAACAGCCAGCAACTGCCATCGTCAATTTTGTGTCTAAAGTTATGATGAGTGGAGTGGGACAGAAAAATGTTGTGTGAGGGTTTTTAACTTAATTCAACTGCGGCTGCATTCTGGAAACTCTAGTGGCGTACAACGAGAGAAGTGCTACACAAGGTGTGCTCTAGTCGTGAATGAAATTTATTACTTGCAATTCCACCTCACCACCCACAATTTTTCAACACAGGGCATTGTGTGACTGCTAGTTACATTTAGCCCGTAGTGTTTAAAGGTTTTGTAAAATTTTAACTGCTTCCGAGTTTTATCAGTTATAAATGTTTTGAGAACCCTTCCAAATACCTGGTGACTGAGCAAAGTTTGCATGTTGATTTTTCATTATGGGACTTGCAAGTTCTTTTACTTTGAAAATATAACTGTGTTATAGTATGAATTGTAAAATTTAAATGTCTGAATAACAACAGTACTTTTCCCATGCAAATTAACTGATTGTCGCTTTTCAAAAGAGCTGGTTTGTGACTCTCACATTTTATACATTCCAAACTTTGCAAATTGTGTTCCCTACAATTAATGAACATCTTTGTAATATACCTGCTCTGTTATCTGTATACAAAATTGTATAGGTAATTATGGTTATGGGGAGAAAGCATGTGAAGATGACCCTTGTCACTTTTCATTAGTACACTCGAAAACCACTAGGGGCATGTTTCATGCAAAAATTTCTCTGAATGCAGTTGTATGTTTTGATTTTAGTTCAACTCCATTGGCAGCTGAGGGTGTATGATCTTATAATGAAAAATGAATATTTCTCTGTGCCAATTTAAAATCAAATGAAAGGAGAACTCATCATAACTGCTAATTAACATTATAAAGTTGCAGTGAGCTTTATCATGTGTCATATCAAACTTCTTGCCAATGGTGCTTTGTTTTTTTTCAAAAGTCATGGTATTTTTGTACAAGTTTATTCCAATATCCATCTAATATGGAATGTTTTTCATTTTGCTTTCATTGCAACGACATTCATAGTGTATGCAGAAAGTAAAACTTCTGTTACAAGTAATGAGCTAGGTATTAAAATCTGTTTTAATTTGCAATTGCATTAATGTGGAAAATAGTATAGCAAAGTAGTCACTTTACGCCCATCAACTTAGGATTTCTCTTATTTATTGTCTCTGTCTTAAGTGTGTCGTAAGATTTTTATGAAGTTATATGTTTTACCTGTAAACATAGTGCTTAACTGCCCATATGATGTCTATTGAGTTGTATGACAAAAGACTCCAATACTCACTTTATTAATAGCAACAATGAATTTTTTGCTTCCAATTTTTTTAAAAAAACTACACATTTTATTTATGGAAAGGATTACCTAACTTTTAACAAACTTGCTGTGACAGGTAGAATTTAAAAGTTTTAGCTTTCTCTACCTCAAATTGAAAAATGTTTGTAATTTATTGTAGAGGATCTGTCAGGTGTGAAATGGGAAAAAACAAATTAAATAATGTACATACATGTACACATTGTATTTACTATAGTTTGTAAGATTGTGCTATAAATTGAAAATATGCAAACAATGCCAACAAGAGTCGTTTAACACGTTCACTGCCAGAGCAACCCATGTTGAGATGAAGCATGGGAACATGTGTGTTTGCTTGGCAGTGAACGTGTTAAAAAGAAAAATAATATATACATGTATCTTTTAAAAAATTGGCTAACAGCCATATGTCTAGGACTAGTAAACAAGCAAACATGGTATAATGTGAGTGCGCATTAAAATTGAAAAGACTTAAAGTGAAAGAAATTTTTTACTGAAGGGACTGCCAGAAAATGTTTTAACATTCACTAATTTAAAGAAGAAAAGAGAGAGTTAATATAACTTGTGTACCTAACAATTGCATTCTCATAGTGGCGTGTACTCCTTGTTTCTGAGTCAAGAAATTTCTGTTAAAGGGCAATAAAAATATTACAAAACTGTGTTGTTGAATTTTCAAACCAACTGCAGACCAATGACTGCCTGTTAATCTGCGGGTTTCACTGCATAGTCGAGAGAAGTGGTTAACTTGTAGTCCTCGCCCAATCGACTTCCAGTTTCCCAGTTCAGGATCGGTTTATGGAGGTGAGGTTACCGAAGTGCACCAGGAGGGCAGTAGCTGTAAAGCGCCTGCGAAGGGAGCATAGGCAGCCCCGCGCGGCTCGCGCGTCCGACGGGACGGCCTACCCTCCAGGCGCTCCCCTCGCGCGTCCCTGTTCGAAGCGCCTGGCCACAAATATGGACTTGCGGGTGCGCTACCGACCGAGCGATAGAGGCGAGAAACGGGCTGAAGCTGATCCACCCACCGCGCTGTCCGGCACTCAGACCTGCCCTGCCGAAGACAAGAGCCAACGGAGAGAAAAAAAGACATGCGCGCCGGCCGGGTGTCGATCCCCGGGCTGCACGTCCCTGTTTGTAGCTACACGATTGTAGCTACAGCCGACAGTGCCCGAGTCAGCTTAAACTGAACCGTCTATAGACGAATTCATTACTTCTGCCAATGATAAAATATCAACCAGAAGTAAACAGCGCTGAACTAAAGCAAATACGAAAGATCAATGATTTCATGGACACAAAAATGTGATACAAATGGGGCAACATACGATGTCCGACGCCACCAGCAACACGCCCCTTTTGTAGCAAAACAGTTGGAGCTACAGTCGACATGACCGCATGCAGCTTCATCCGAACAAAAAATGTAGGCCCTAAGATCAACTCCCGGGCAGGGCAAATTTTTTCTTTGTCGCTTTTTGTCTCCCGTTAGGCAGGACCGAGCTCAGACCTCGGCCCCAAAGGAGAAAGCTGGTAGCCGAGCGTGTTAAAGCGTGATCGTTGGCAGATCGTGGGGATGGTCGGTAGTTCGAATCCCATCCGCGATCATATTTCCTTCTCTGCTGGCCAAGTGTCTTCGGGCGTCATTAACAGCTGAGATCTGAATGCCGCCGAACGTTGTACTATGTATCGTTCCGTCGTGGCCAAGTCGGTAGCGTCCGGGCCCGGTGTGCACCTAATCGCTGGTTCGAATCTCGGCCGGGGCGATAATTTTCGCGCTCCGCTGGCCACGACTTTACAGCCGTGCGACACCTGATGTGATGGGCCGGTACGCAAACAGTCGCTGGTTCGAATCTAGTCGACGGAACCCTTTTGCCCCTCTACCAGCCATATGTTTCGGGGTGTGAGCCACGGCGGAGGTAAGCTTCACCTATGCACAAGCATCATCATTAGCTCAGATAGTAGAGCGCGCGCCTTGGACGCGGATGGTTGTCGGTTCGAATACTGACCGAGGCTCATTTTTTCCTATTTATTAGTTTGCGGCGCGGGGACCAAGGGTTAGGACAAAAGACCAGCCGACATGG